AATGAATTTAATCAGTTGTGTCATTTTGATAGGTAACCCACATGGTGGTGTCTAACTATATTTTTTATTTCTCATAGCTAATAGAATTACTATAGAGTACCCAAGCCAGTACCTTTATGTCGTAGATGAGAAAACTTGAAAATCAGATGGTTTAAGGTGGTGGGCTGCGGTCCATGGGGTCATTAAGAGTTGGGCACGACTGAGCGACTTCCCTTTCACTTCACTTTCACACATTGGAGAAGGAAATGGCAACCCACTCCAGTGTTCTTGCTTGGAGAATCCCAGGGACGGGGGAGCCTGGTGGGCTGCCGTCTATGGGATCACACAGAGTCGGACACGACTGAAGTGACTTAGCAGAAGCAGCAGCAAGGTTATACCTCTAGTTGTTTGTGGAGTTGGACATAGAATCTGTTTTGGTGGATTCCAGATTCAGCAACCCTCTTGTCCCTGCCCTTTACAGTGCCTCTGACACTTGATGTCCTGGTCCAGGGATGGGACCTCAGTCATCACCCAGCCCCGCCACTCACCAGTGAGTGAAAAGTGAAAGTGAAGTCACTCAATCGTGCCCGACTCTTTGTGACCCCATGGACTGTAGCCCACCTAGCCTGCCAGGCTCCTCCGTCCATGGAATTTCCCAGCCAAGAGTACTGGAGTGGGTTGCCATCTCCTGCTCCAGGGGATCTTCCCGACCCAGGGATTGAACCTGGGTCTTCTGCATTGTCGGCAGACTCTTTTGCCATCTGAGCCACAGGGAAGTCACTAGCGAGTGGACCTCTGCGGGTTCTCAGCACCTTCAAGTCTTGCTTTCCTCGCGTGTAATCTGGGCATGGTACCCACCTTCTGGGGCACTTCAGGGGATTAAATGATGGGATACAGTCAAGTTCATTTGTTTTTTTCCCAGACACACTGAACTGTAAACCTTCAGTCAATGATCGTATGCTTATATAATGCAATGCCTTTAAAAATTACTCAATGTTCTTTGTTTAAAAAAATCATAATATGAAAATTTACATAAAGAAGAGAATCCTAAGCATCCAAGACATCAACCTCTAGAGGTAATCTTAGACTTTTCTTATGCATTTTGTGTATTTAATTTTTGACCACACTTAACTCTTGGAAAAATACAGATGAAATTCTGTATGTCAGTGATCCATTAAAGCAAAACCCTTCACATTATCCATGAGAGAAAAAGGCCATATCAGAGCCTGATTATTATTCTTTCAAAAGAACAGAATATTACTGCAGAGATTAAGGCTAGTTCTGCAGATGTACACGCAGATATACATTAAATCTCCTGCTCATTTTTGCTGTAATTTTATTTCTTTTCCCTCTTTAAAATCCAATTCGAGCTGTAGGCATCTCTGTTGGTAGTTTCTCTTTTCTTAAATTTAAGAATTGTCCATCCGAAAGAGCTTGAAAGTAAGTATGACCTACCTGAGGTCTGTTTAGGAACTTTGCTTTGATTTACATTGTGCACTGATGAAGCTGCAAAACCTTCTTGGATCAAAGAAGTTTAAATCATTGGAAGGAAGAATGTCAAAAATAAAATTGGTTCATTTTAGATCTCCTTGCTCAAGAAAAGTGATTCTTTGTGCCCTCTCTCTGGGAGATGCCTTCATGTTCCAAAGGTCTAGCCTGACTGGTCTTTTCTGGTTCTATTTCCTCTTCATATTAAAAAAAATTTTTTTTTAATTAAAGGATAATTGTTTTACAGAATTTTGTTATTAACATGAACCAGCCATAGGTATCCCCTCCCTTTTGAACCTCCCTCCCATCTCTGGCCCCATTCCACCCCTCTAGATTGATACAGAGCCCCTGTTTGAGTTTCCTGAGCCATACAGCAAATTCCCCTGGCTATCATTACATATAGTAATATAAATTGCCTTGTTACTCTTTCCATATATTTCACCCTCTCCTTCCCCTGACTCTCTATTTTGTAGCCTTGGGCTAGTGCACTAAAAAGATTAGTTCCTGTAGAAGAAGTTTCACCTTCAAATCAAAGGTTATTATAGTCATGGTTCTGCTCCTCTATTGATCGTTGCATGCATGTTGCCATGAGCTCAGATGATTTTCGATTCTTAGACTCACTACAGTGATTTGTGGGAGAATTTAAGGCTGCAGAGTCGCTTCCCTGGCAGAGGGCCTGACGGAGGACTTGCCAGCTTGCAGGAGTTGGGTAGAGGTGGGGGTAGGCAGTGGGAGGGTCCAGCACCACAGATCTTATCCCAGAGAGAGCTCTAAGGTTGAGGTTGGAAAATTATAGCCAAGCCAGTAGGTGACCACAGGCAGAAATAGGGCCCTAGGGTTCTGAAAGCCAGAAGAACACTAAGATGATGAGAATGAGTTGGAGTAGAAGAACTTCTAGATCAGGAAGACAGGGGGCTCTCCTTGGGGTCCAGCTTTCTTAGGTAGGATGGTGTGCTGAGTGGTTAGACTCATTTAGGGAGCCAGGGTAGACTGGACAAAACAGTTAGGGATGAGGAAGTTGAATTATGATCCCTGAACCAGATTTTCCCTGTGTTGTCAATGATGTTCTTATTTAGGAAAATGTTTCTCATTTGAGGGCTGTTTTGTTTCAATACGTGGAGTTACTGCCAGTGCTGGCTTTCTTCCAGTCCTGGTAATCCACTGAGGTTTCAGAAAGAAATGTGTTTGTTTGTTTGTTTTTCCTCCACTCCCCACGGAGTAATTGATTTATGTATAATTTAATTATTTTGTTAACCAGTTAGCTTATCACAGTGTACAAAAACAGCCACCCTAAAAACCCACTGTCCTCATTCTGTGTCAAGATAGAATGGATTTTTCCTCTATTATGAGTGTGTATGTAATGGTAAGATTTCTTGCTAAATTCCAAATACACTGACTCCATTTCCCATACTGAGATGCCCTTGAAATCTCACATGGTATTATCCAGTGATTTAGAGTAAGAAGAACTGAGATGAATGATCAGTTTCAAAGGGGAATTAAAGTCTTGAGTATTCTGTAGGGAAGTCATATTTTAGAAGATCACCTTGGACTGTATTTTCGTCAGAGTAAATTTTGGAAGATTCTTCGAAGGGCGGAGGAGTGAATGTACTCTCCTTTATCTGATCTCACCAATGTGTCTCCTTTTGCTTGATTTTCTTTATTCATAGTCGTGTCTCATCTCTCCCTATCATGCTCTTCGTGAGGACGTTTTTTATTCTGACATGCTGCTGTTATTTATTTCATATGGGATTGACTATGAATCTGTGCCCTGCCTGCTCACCCTCGTGCTTTTGTGTGCAGTGGAAGGTCTCGCAGTCAGGTCAGCAGTCTATTTGAATCCTTCATGGTATAAATATGCTTTAAAGCACTGTCTTATTGAGTCCATTTACAAAAATTTAATTTGAATTAAATAATTCAGTCCAGCCTAAGCACACAAGGCACAAATGTGTGCAGTGCTGCTGGGACCAGCTTCGTGCCCTTGGAGCCTTCTTTTCTGCTGGTTCTTCCTCGTTTTTCTCACTTACAGAGTGTTTTTCCTTTGTGATTTTTGCCTTTCATGGTGATGCTGCTGTGTAAGCGCTCAGTTTTTAGACAAAGACATTTCAGGCAAGTTGGTATTTTCTTAAGAGTAAAAACCATTGCAACCGTTCTCATGAGAAGCCCTTTTGAGTCTCTGAAGCCATTCACAAAGCTGGTCAAGTCTAATTTCACTCCACAAAAAGAAAAGAGAATATGATACTTTTCCTATCCAGGAATTCCACCCACCCCAAACTTAGCTGCCCTCTGCATATTGCTTTCAGATCACTTGCAGCGGCAGAGGGCTTTATGCAAATTGCCCAATTATTTTGGGTTCTAGTCAAAATCACCTTGCTTTATTTCTAGAGTAGTGAAACTGCTTTCTTTGAAAACTTGCGCAGAGCGGGGAGTCTAACCAGCTTGTCTGACTCTGCATTGCTGACCTGAAAGTCTAACCTCACTTATATCCCTGCCTTCTCCATGATCCTCCAAGGATGCCCCCTGCCCTCTGGCTCTGTTCATTTTTATTGGGTCCACCTGGCCATAGAAACAGTATTTTCATTTCCTGTTTATTAGCCATCTTTAATAATCTCATATTAGTGAATGGGTGGGTGATATGCTATCTTAGAATTATATGGCCAGTTTGGGCAAAGAGGTCAGACATCAATATCAATCAGTGCATTCTTCATTTACTAGAAAATGTAAGTCTGCCTTAATTTTCTTTGGTGCCGTTTTTGCAGTCATTCCTGTAAAATTTGGTACTTCTGCTTTCTCTTCCCTCTCCTGCTCTCTGAACTCTGGTGCATTGACAGAACAGTCTCACACAATGGCTCTCACAAGATTGCTGAAGGATTTTTTTCTTTCCTCATCTCTCTTTCCAACAGGTTTTATCACCCTGTTGCTTGAGATAGTGTGAAGTGAACAGCCACAAAATGAGGGGAAGCCTTGATCCGTTAGCCTTAAACTCTCAGTTGCATTCCTAATTTGGAGATAAATGATGGAGTTCTGTGCCTCAGATGACTTGCTGTTACCTTTCCAGGCATGCCAGAGCAAATAACAAATCATTCCTGTCCTTTTGCTAAATAAATGGCACAGAAGCACCTTTGAATTCCTATCCCCTGGCGGCAGTGTTCAAATCTTTTAACTTTCTACCATAAGAGCCCCCCTCTCCTTCTGCATAGAAGTATGAAGATTAAATGATTAAGGAATTAGTGACTATGAAGTTTTTGAAGGACGGATGTGAAGTGTAATCATATGCTTCATGGGACCTTGACTGGTTATTGTTGCATCTGAGAGCAGACCTCTCTGGGTTGCTAGCTAAAAGTGTGGGAGTCTGACTAATAATTGATAATTATTAATAATTATAACCCACTGGAGGGTCATGGAGAAGGCAGGGATGTAAGTATTAATAATAACCCACTTTCTGTGTACCAGGCACTGTGCTCGAGGCTTGGCACAGCCATTAATTCATTTGCAAATGAACCACATACTTAGTGTCTCTGGTTCCTGTTTCTCAGGTTGAAAATTGGTGTCCCCATTTACCTTGGAGAGCGAAAAATCCCTATGAAGAAGCTGATCGTAACTCATTGGTAAGTGGTTTTGGAAACCTCTTACCTGACTTGTGATTTGGGGCTGATGCTAAGTGATACATGTAGAGTCTTCTAAAGATGCCAGTTGTAATCTGAAATAATAGGAAACTGAAGAACTTGTGTCCCCAGCCCTGTGGAAATTTGAGTGACCACGTGATACCGTTAGCGTTATGTTTATTTATTGAGCAGTTCTCTGAGGGTTCCTAAGTCAATAAGACCTGGTGCCAGACTTGGAGGTGCCCAGTGATCTGGTAATGAAGGTGGTGGTAAATGGTGGCCACACCCGTGTCAACACTGAAACACAGGCCCATGGAAATTAATGAGGAAGGGGCCAGCACAGCCCGCGTGGGTCAGGAGAGATGTAAAGAGAACATGACCTTGGAGTTGAATTTGAAGTGATGAATGGATTTATACCAAGTCCGGGAGAGAAAGATGTCTCTGATGTGAAGTGAAAAGGTGCCCATTCAAGAGCCTGGTGATTTCAGGAGAAGAGCCTGGGACAAGGCCGTAGGGGTCTGAAGGAGCTGGAATGAAGAAGAGATGGGAAGGGTAGGTAGGGGCTGTGAAAAGTTTCATATTAAAACTCAAGCCCTTATTCTTTTCCTCAGGGGTCAGCAGACTTTTTCTCTGAAAGGCCAGATAGTAAATACTTTCCTCTTTGTAGGCCATAAGGAAGTCTCTGTTATAACTACTCAATTCTGACCTTGTAGCCCAGGGCAGCCCTCATCATATGTAAATGAGTGGGCATGGCTATGTTCTCACAAAACTTTACGTAGAAAAACAGGAAGTGAGGAAGATCATTGAAAAATAAGGAGATCATCAAAAAGCAAGAAAGTTCCAGAAAAACATCTACTTTTGCTTTATTGACTACACCGAAGCCTTTGACTGTGTGGATCACAACAAACTGTGGATAATTCTTAAAGAGATGGAAATACCAGACCACCTGACCTGCCCCCTGAGAAATCTGTATGCAGGTCAAGAAGCAACAGTTATAACTGGATATGGAACAACAGACTGGTTTCAAATAGGAAAAGGAGTACGTCAAGGCTGTATATTGTCACCCTGCTTATTTAACATATATGCAGAGTACATCATGTGAAGTGCCGGGCTGGATGAAGCACAAGCTGGAACCAGGATTGCTGGGAGAAATCAAAAAACTCAGATACGCAGATGACACCACCCTTATGGCACAAAGCGAAGAAGAACTAAAGAGCCTCCTGATGAAAGTGAAAGAGGAGAGTGAAAAAGTTGGCTTAAAACTCAGCATTCAGAAAACTAAGATCTTGGTGCTCCATCTCATCACTTCATGGCAACTAGACGGGGAAACAATGGAAACAGTGACAGACTTCGTTTTCTTGGGCTCCAAAATCACTGCAGATGGTGACTGCAGCCATGAAATTAAAAGATGCTTCCTCCTTGGAAGAAAAGCTATGACCAACCTAGACAGCATATTAAAAGCAGAGACATTACTTTACCAACAAAGGTCCATCTAGTCAAAGCTATGGTTTTTCCAGCAGGCATGTATGGCTGTGAGAGCTGGACCATAAAGAAGGCTGACAGCCAAACAATTGATGCTTTTGAAGTGTGGTGCTGGAGAAGACTCTTGAAAGTCCTTTGGACTGCAAGGACATCCAGTCAGTCAACCCTAAAGGAAATCAGTCCTGAATATTCATTGGAAGGACTGCTGCTGAAGCTGCAAGTCCAATACTCTGGCTACCTGATGCAAAGAACCGACTCATTGGAAAAGACCCTGATCCTGGGAAAGATCAAAGGCGGGAGGAAAAGAGGACAACAGAGGATGAGATGGTCAGATGGCATCACATGACACGATGGACATGAGTTTGAGTAGGCTCCAGGAGTTGGAGCCTGTTGGACAGGGAAGCCTGGCGTGCTGCAGTCCATGGGGTCGCAAAGAGTCGGACACAACTGAGCAACTGAGCTAAGAAAGATTTGGTCAAAGAGCCAGAGTTTACTGAGCCTCGCTTAGACCATGGGATTCTTGGGACATAGTTGAGTCATGGTATGGTTAGATGAATGTTTAGAATCAATTATGGTGACTGCTGAAAGATGGATTCAGCATGCTTTCTTTAGATTTTATGTGAAAAAAATACTAATGTTATTATTTCTCCCTGTTCTTTCAATCACTGGTTATATCCAGCTATTGTAGAAAAAATATTCTTTCTGACTTTTAAGTTATTCTGGCTTGAATTCGAAATTTTATTCAGTTACAATAGGAAAGTGATATCTCTGGCTTTTACATTCCTTGTAGAAAATAATAAACTTTTGTTTATTTGGATTGGGACAAGATTAGAGGGCGAGCATGTATTCTCCTACTTTGTGGACGGAATGAGGCTTTGTGGCAGCCTCCATAATGGCAGGTAGTCTGTTAAGGATAAACTTCAGTTTTCCCAGGAGTCTGCTCCCCCGAAGTAGATCCAAAGGGCCAATAAATTCGGATGCAGACAATTTCAAGATGCATCAAGCACATTTCACTGTAAAATACACATTTTGACCTAGCTCAGGGCTTGGCAATGCCTGTGCCACTTTTCTCCGCTTCTAATTTTTTAATGATGTCCCTTATATAGCAGAGCAGCAGTCAGTGGCCCTTTGCTTCAATCTGCAGCCCCAGGACCTTCAAGCAAAGCTCTTCAATGAACCAGACTCCCTTTTGAAGCCACATGTTTAATTGACTCTCTCTTTCAAGTTTTCAAATGTCACATCATGAAAACCATTATGCTTTTGGGCGTCTTATCTCCTATTCATTTTTATTAAATTTCTGTTTCTAGGCAGAAATTCGTACAGATGTTAATATTCTCTACAGTATGATGAAAAAGCATGAAGAATTCCGATGGATGAGACTGCGGATCCGGCGAATGGCTGATGCGTGGATCCAAGCAATCAAGTCCTTGGCAATGAAGCAGAATCTTGAGAAGAGAAAGCGGAAGAAAGTGAGTTTCTGATTAATTCACTTCAGCTGAATGCCAGTTTTCTTGAAAATTTAATTTTCATGGAGGCAAGACTAAGAGAAATGTCATGTCCCCAGTGATATTCCCTTGGGATGAATCCGCAGTGTCTTCTTCCACAGCCATTTTGGGGCTTTCCTTTCCCCAGTTTACAACAATCTTAGCAGGAACTAGCACACGTGTCTTCAGTGGAGCCAAGCAGAATATCTGCCTGTAAGATTTTCCTATGTACCATCTGACTCACTCTCAGTAGCATCAGGAAGTTTAATTCTCTTTTCTTTACTAGAATGCAACCTTAAAGAACTTCCTGTTACATCATCATGACAGTTTCATACTCTGGGTATTTGTCAGTTCTGTAATTCGGGCAGCCAGCTGGTGAGTTTCATTGCTGCTCTGTTTGGTGGCGGTTCTGCTTGTGTTCCTGAGACAGAGATACTGTAAATTAAACTTGAGCCAGTTTGTTTTGACGTTCATGAGGAGATGCTTGGGAAACCCCCTGTAATATCCCTGAGCGTGAAGCTCTTATACCCTGGGTTTAGTTAAGCTAACATCGCTGTTTTCCTTTCAGACTTCAGTCAGTTGGACCACATTAAAAGCTGCCTTGCTACTCTGAATTTACACCTGGAAACCTATACTGAATGCTCTTCTCACTGTCAGCTAAAACATACTGATATGTATTAAATATGAATCTCATGTGAGCATAATAATTATCTTTCTATATATGGAAAAAAATTATCAAAGACTGCTAGAATTTTTTCAAAGAACTTGAAAGCCAACTTTAATAGCCTCCCATTTTCCAAGGCGGCACAATTTGGTAATCAGTAAGAATAATAACTGCAGTGTATTGAAACCCGTCAAATATACTTATGTTCATGTTCATGTATAATAATACACATATTTTTTAAAAAAATCTTCCTTTGTCATCATTAGAGAATGCCAAAGAACAAATTTGTTATTTTGAAAACCATTAAGTAAAAGGAAAGAATCAGGTATTTACCAGGTTTTTTTCCTATGCAGGCTGTCCATGAGGGATAGTTTCTCTTTCTAGAAGTACCAATATTACAGCTAATGAATGCAGAAGGAATGATAGAATGTCATCAATGGCAAGCCATAATGGATTAATGCATCTAGTTAGTGATCATCAGTAGCTGCAAACACCACAAAACAGAAACAACCAGATATTGTTCCTACCACTGGAAGCACACAGCACTACCTATGAAATAGTGTTGCCCAAAAAATCAAGTACAAATTTGATCATGGCTGCAGCTGTAGTTACTGATTTACCATAAACACAGGGACAGAAAAATCTGTTTTACAGTCAGTAAAATCTAGAGGGTGAAAAACTCTACTGGAAATACAACCCAGTTTCTTTGACAAGTAAATTGCAAACCCCTCCCTCTCCCAGAAAGGAAGATCAGGCAGTTATTCTACAATTAAAGAAGGCTAAGAGAGATATGAGAAGTTTATGCACTTTATTTGAATTCTGGCTCAAATAACTGCTCTTGGGCAAAATAAGGGACAGTTGAGCAAGTGTATGCACTAACTGGATGTTGGATGATACTAAGGAATTAATAGCTGTGTTAGGGGTGACAGTGATATTACAGTTATATTTTTTAAGTGAAAATTTATTTCTTTTAGAAATTCCAGCTGAGATTTTTACAGATGATAGGCTCTCTCGGATTTGTTTCAAGATAAGCTGGAGGGGTTGGGAGAAAGTGAGGGGTGTATATTAAATAAGACCTGTCAGGAGTTAATCATTGTTGAAGTCAGTAATTGTTAAGTACATCGGAATTGACTGTATTGTCATATCTGTTTTTGTTAGTGTTTGAAATTTGTCATGTTAAAAGCTTAAAAATATTCCACCTGTGGAAAAAAAGCCCAGTATTGTTAAAAGATATTTTATTGTCCTGGTTGACTCTCCTTTAAACCTGATTTTTCACCTTTGGAAAGCAGGATTATCTGTCCATAGCCATACCAAATGCAGTAATGACTTGATTTCTCTAAAACAACAATGAGAGATCATTCCTTTCTTTCTGTGTACCTTCTAGAAAAATTATTTACCCCATGTTGAGATTCTGTTAGAAGGTAAACATGACTTTGGAATTGGTGGGTGGTTTTTTGGTGGGTTTCTGTGGAATTTGTACTTGATCCAATGAGAATCAGTGTGTCCCTCTTTTTTTTTTTCAGGTCCTTGTTCACCTGGGCCTCCTGACTAAGGAATCCGGATTTAAGATTGCAGAGACAGCTTTCAGTGGTGGCCCTCTTGGCGAATTAGTTCAGTGGAGTGATTTAATTACGTCTCTGTACTTACTGGGCCATGACATTAGGATTTCAGCTTCACTGGCAGAGCTCAAGGAGTAAGGAGATTACTTTTCAATTTTAAAATCAGAATACAAAAAAGAAATTGTAAACTCTTAAAGCCCTCTATTAGTGTGTAATTTCTTGTGGAGGAAAATGAAAGTGATAATTCACTAAACAGGAGATAAGAAGATTATTTTCAGGCGCTAAATACATACACTGTGAAAAGGCTAATATGTTTTCATTGTAGCTGCAGGCTCCAGAGGCTTGATAAATGAATGCCAGAAAATTCAAACTAAGGAGCTTATTCTCTGCTGTTACAGGTGCTTCCAACATCTGCAGCACAAAACATTATTGACTTTCCTAATTCCCTGTCTCTTGCTGAAATGCATACCCTTCCCTCCTCAACACCACACTTTCTAAGTCTTCAAACAGGGCAGGTTCCTGTTTGTAATTTAATTTGGAGAGGATGAGTTTCTCGAAAGCCCTGATCCAATCCTATTTCAATTAGCCCACTTGCAACTCTGAGTCTGTTAATTCTACCTAGGTTTTTTGGTTTCACTGAAGTGTGCTTCTAGCTTGAGTCCTCCGTTAATCACTTTTAGACTGAAACGGCTGGTCAAGCAGAAGTGCTTAGCTCTCCTTCACTCCTTTTTGGATAACTGCCCATTGAGACTCTCTACCCAACAGCCAAGTTAGCATGAAGCAATATGTCAACTGTTCCAAAAGGAAACACTTGAAGGGACATTCTAGAGATGGAAGAGGTAAGACAGCGTATGTCCCACCTTGCTCCTACTTTGTAGTCCAGTGAGGTCACTGTGTTATTTCCAAGGTCCACACAGGATTAGAGGCAGTATTGAGATGAAAAAGCAGTGTTATCAATAAAACAATGTCAGCTCTCATTTGTTAAGTGATTTCCATATGCTAAAACCATGATCCGGGCTTTAGTTACAGCAGTAATATCAACAGTTATGATATTGATGGCGAAAATATCATATGTCACCAGTTATGACAGCCATAATACTGATGGTGCCCATTTAGAACTAACATTTGTTGAACACTTCCTGTGCACCAGATAGTAAGCACTTCACATGTTATATTTTATTTAGTCCTTAGTGCAAGCCTGGAAGTAGGTACTGTTGCTTTCTGCATTTTAAAGATGAGGAAACGGGGGTTCAAACCAAAAATGGGTTCTTCAAGATCCTATTGAAGGTATGTGGGAGAGCCAGGATTTGAGCCCTCTGTCTCTCTGACCTCAAAGCCTCTGCTCTTGACCATGGAACCACAATGCTCCTTTCAAAGCTCGAGAAACCCAAGGTCTTTCTAAGCCCTTCACCACTCTTTAATAGCTGCCTGCCATTGCCTCTGCCCTGCTTTCTAAAAATACACATTGGAGACACAACCTCTGAAGTGGGTGTATTCATACATTGCATGGTCATTCCTTCACCTCCTCCTTTGGGCTGGTTCTTGGTATGGGACTTAGCAATGATCAGCCTGTGGTTAAGGAGAAGCCAACCTTTTGATAATTACAGCTAATGCATTGTATAATAGTGACACTAATTAAAATGTGATTAGTACTACTTGAGGTGAGGATGATAAGCACAGGGAGTGGAGAAACTGTGAATATTGCTCACCACCGTGTATTGAGCACCTAGAACAGCAGGCACTCATAACTGTTTACTGAACAAATAAGAGATTGATGGAAGAGGGGGTGCTGAAGAAATGGAGCACGATGGGTGCTCTGGAGATCGGTACTCCCTAGGGAGGCCCAAAAAGCCATATTAGGGATCTACTAGGCAGAGACTTCATTTGCTGGTCAAGAAGATCATGGAGGTCTTTAAGCCCTGGTGTCAAAGCCAGATGTGTTTATTCATTTTGGAGCAGTGGTTCCCACACATGCCTGCACATTAGAATCACCTAGGGATCTTTTTCGGAGAAGGCAATGACAACCCACTCCAGCACTCTTGCCTGGAAAATCCCATGGACAGAGGAGCCTGGTAGGCTGCAGTCCATGGGGTCGCTGAGAGTCGAACACAACTGAATGACTTCACTTTCACTTTTCACTTTCATGCATTGGAGAAAGTAATGGCAACCCACTCCAGTGTTCTTGCCTGGAGAATCCCAGGGATGGGGTTTCTGGTGGGCTGTCGTCTATGGGGTTGCACAGAGTCGGACACGACTGAAGTGACTTAGCAGCAGCAGCAGGGATCTTTTTAGACTCCCCCAGCCCAGAACATATCCCAGACTAATTAAATGACAGCTTTTGGGGGTAAGACTCAAGCATAAGTTGATGCTTATAAGGCATAAGTTGATGCATCAGCATCTGTTGATGCTCCGAGGTATAGCACAGGGATCGTCTTTTGTTAATCAATTTTCATGGGCCCACAGCCACACCCATTGTTTGTATATTATCTGTGACTGCTTTCCTTCTACAAGAGCAGAGTTAAATAGCTGTGACAGAGAATATGTGGCCTGTGAAGATGAAAAGATTTACTACCTGGCCCTTTACAGAAAAAATTTTCAAATTCTTGGGAAGATATTGGCTCTTTCAGAAACCCAGTGGAAAAAAAGGGTACCTAGAGCAGTGTCATTGTGGAGCTGTAGGCAGAGGCCTGGTGATGACTCTTGTCCTTTGGAGTAGGGTGTCCATAGTCTGGTTAAGGACTATTATGGGATGTGAGCTGGGATAAATAGATAAATGGCCAATTTCTGGACAGATGGCAGTATGGCTAGCAGTTATATGCCTCACCATGTGAAGCTCACCTACAATCAAGTATGTTGTCTCTGAATGCAAGGGTGGGTTTAAATAGATGATTAGGTTTATATTAGTGGATGGATGGAAGGATAATGAAAAAGTATAAACCATAGTGCCAGTTCTTAAATACAGTGTATTCAGAAGGATAAAATAGACATAAGAGAAAAAATTAGCAAACAGTACAGAGCAGTATTTTGTTGTTGTTCAGTAGCTCAGTCATGTCTGACTCTTTGTGACCACGTGGACTGCAGCATGCCAGGCTTCCTTGCCCTTCACCGTCTCCTGGAGCTTGCTCAAACTCATGTCCATTGAGTCGATGATGCCATCCAACTATCTCATCCTCTGTCATCCCATTCTCCTCCTGCTTTCAGTCTTTCCCTGCCTCAGGGTCATTTCCAGAGTCGTCTCTTCACATCAGGTAGCCAGAGTATATATTGGAGTTGCAGCTTCAGCATCAGTCCTTCCAATGAATATTCAGGACTGATCTCCTTTAGGATGGACTGGTTGGATCTCCTTGCAGGCCGAGGGACTCTCAAGAGTCTTCTCCAACACCACAGTTCAGAAGCATCAATTGTTTGGCTGTCAGCCTTCTTTATGGTCCAACTCTCACATCCACACATGACTGCTGGAAAAACCATAGATTTGACTAGATGGACCTTTGTCGGTAAAGTAATGTCTCTGCTTTTAATATGCTGTCTAGGTTGGTCATAGCTTTTCTTCCAAGGAGGAAGCATCTTTTAATTTCATGGCTGCAGTCACCATCTGCAGTGATTTTGGAGCCCAAGAAAACGAAGTCTGTCACTGTTTCCATTGTTTCCCCATCTAGTTGCCATGAAGTGATGAGATGGAGCACCAAGATCTTAGTTTTCTGAATGTTGAGTTTTAAGCCAACTTTTTCACTCTCCTCTTTCACTTTCATCAAGAGGCTCTTTAGTTCTTATTCACTTTCTGCCATAAGGGTGGTGTCATCTATGTTACTGAGGTTATTGATATTTCTCACAACAATCTTGATTCCAGCTTGTGCTTCATCCAGCCCAGAATTTCGCATGATGTAGTCTGGATATATGTTAAATAAGCAGGGTGACAATATGCAGCCTTGACGTGCTCCTTTCCCAATTTGGAACCAGTCCATCATTGTTCCATGTCCAGTTATAACTGTTGCTTCTTGACCTGCATACAGATTTCTCAGGAGGCAGGTAAGGTAGTCTGATATTCCCATCTCTTGAATTTTCCACAGTTTGTTGTGATCCATAAAGGCTTTAGCATAGTCAGTAAAGCAGATATAGATGTTTTTCTGGAATCCTCTTGCTTTTTCTGTGACCCAGCTGATGTTTGCAATTTGACCTCTAATTCCATTGCCTTTTTTAAGTCCAGCTTGTAAATCTGGAAGTTCTTGGCTCACATACTATTGAAGCCCACCTTGGAGGATTTTCAATATCACTTTACTAGTGTGTGAGATGAGTGCAATTTGCAGTAGTTTGAGCATTCTTTGGCATTACACTTCTTTGGGATTGTAATGAAAACTGACCTTTTCCAGTCCTGTGGCCACTGCTGAGTTTTCCAAATTTGCTGACATATTGAATGCAGCACTTTCACAGCATCATCTTTTAGGATTTGAAATAGCTCAGCTGAAATTCCATCACCTCCACTAGCTTTGTTCATAGTGATGCTTTCTAAGGCCCACTTGACTTCTCACTCCAAGATGTCTGGGTCTAGGTGAGTGACCACACCATTGTGGTTATCTGGGTCATGAAGATCTTTTTGTATAGTTCTTTTCTGTACTCTTGCCACCTCTTCTTAATATCTTCTGCTTCTGTTAGGTCCATACCATTTCTGTCCTTTATTGTGCCCATCTTTGCATGAAATGTTCCCTTGGGATCTCTAATTTTCTTGAAGAGATCTCTAGTCTTTCCCGTTTTATCGTTTTCCTGTATTCCTTTGCATTGTTCACTTAGGAAGGCTTTCTTATCTCTCCTTGCTATTCTTTGGAACTCTGCATTCAGATGGGTATATCTTTTCTTTTCTCCTTGCCTTTCACTTCTCTTCTTTTTCTCAGCTCTTTGTAAGTCCTCCTCAGACAACCACTTTTCCTTTTTGCATTTCTTTTTCTTGGGGATGGTTTTGATCACTGCCTCCTGTACAATGTTACAAACCTCCATCCATAGTTCTTCAGTTCATCCACTCTATCAGATCTAATCCTTTGAATCTATTTGTCACTTCCACTGTATAATTGTAAAGGATTTGATTTAGGTCATATCTTAATGGTCTAGTGGTTTTCCCTACTTTCTTCAATTTAAGTTTGAATTTGACAACAAGGAGTTCATGATCTGAGCCACAGTCAGCTCCCGGTCTTGTTTTTGCTGACTATATAGAGCTTCTCCATCTTTTGCTGCAAAGAATATAATCAGTATGATATAGATATTGAACATCTGTTGATGTTCATGTGTAGAATCATCTCTTGTTTTGTTGAAAGAAGGTGTTTGCTATGATAATGCATTCTCTTGGCCAAAGTATTTTCTGTACAGAGTGGTATAGAAAGAAGTTTGTACTGTAGAGGCTTGTATTGAAATGGAAGGAGGTCAGTAAGGGCTGTATAATAAGAACAGACTCTGGGAGAAACTGATAGGTACTGAGTATCCAGTATATGTACTTTCCTCTCAATACTTATTTCAACTACCTAAAGAATTCCTGAGAGGTTTCTGTCTTACCATCTTCTCCATATCTAATCCTTTTTGTTTTGTTTTTGATGAGGCAAGATTCAGAGAAGTTAACTTCCTAAGATCTCATGGCTGCTAGATTGGAGAGTGTGATTTATGTTGTCTGGAATATATATGGCCTGGGCTTAGGAAAAATCCACCAAGGTCACTAGGTGATTCTAATGTGCAGGCATTTTTGGGAACCATTGCTCCATGTTGCTTCCACAGTTATCTGTTTAAATAACACATCTGGCCCTTTCACCGGTGCTTAAAGACCTCCATAATCTTCTTGACCAGCAAATTAAATAGAGATAGACTGAGACCCAGATCTTCTTTGGTTTCTAAGGCTGTATTTGTATACCACCATTTGCTTTTGCAAGACTCAGAATGGAGGCTTTGGATGCACCTGATGACTGAGCAGAATTTGGATAGGAAGCTGACTGGGAACAGCCATGTCATTCTCCCTAAGGATTCTTGGGATGTTTCTTAGCCTATTAAAGTTGTTAAGTGTAGTGCTTGTAGTAAATTGCTTTTCTTTTTTTCTTCTTTCTGTTCTTTCTCTAGAATAATGAAGAAGGTTGTTGGAAACCGATCTGGCTGCCCAACTGTAGGAGATCGAATCGTTGAGCTCATTTATATTGATATTGTAGGACTCGCTCAATTCAAGAAAACTCTTGGACCATCCTGGGTTCATTACCAGTAAGTGCTCCATATTGTTCTTAAATTTTTAGAGCTTGTTATTTTGTTAACAAGAATTACATGGTTGCCAGTAGGCTTATCAAATATTATCTTTTGAACTGTGTAGAGTGTTTCTCATTCCTAATTGAAGTTCAGATTCTCCATGGTGTCTTTTGACTTTCAAGTACTCTTCATTAGTTTCACTGATTTACGAGTAGAAACCAAATGTCCAGCCTTCTTTTTTCCTCCCCTAACACTTAGCTTGTGTCTCTGTCTGTATACACTAATCTCATCTGTTTAATCAAAACAATTTTGATAAAATGTGGACAGTGTCATTTTTTGTGTTCTTTAGATTTGAGATGACGACTCATTTGTCCCTTTGCTCCATCAGTATTGTTATCATTCTTGGAAGAAAAAGCTGGGTGTAGCTTGTCTAAATGCTAGAATCTTATACTTTTAAAGATAAGCCTCATGCTTAGTATGACCTGAGTTCAGTGTTACTCTGTGCACAGTTTTTATTATTTAGTAGAAGGTCTCACTATTTCCCTATTTGTGGGTTTGAAACCATGACTTAATATTTGAAACAGTTTTATATGGTATACAAGCCTGACACTAAATAACACTTAATTGTATAATGAAGTTTATTAATTTTTCAGTTTCCTTACAGTCTTTCTAAGAGAGGCTTAGTTTGATGCTACTGTATCTCAGATACTACTTTTTTTTAATTGGAGGATAGTTGCTTTATAATATTATGTTGGTTTCTGCCGTACAACAACATGAATTAGCCATAAATATACGCATATCCCCCTCGACACTACTTTTAACACTTGCATGGGAATAGCAGTAAGTCTCAGCGTTCAGCAGACAAAATAAAGTATCCAGTTTGACTTTAGTAATTCTTATTAATGAAGAATAATAGGAGGATTGATCAGAATGGTGGAGTAGGAGAATGTGGAACTTGTCTCCTGCTATGTACAAATCCAGAACATGGAACAGTTCTCATTGGAAACTAACTGGAAGCTTGCAGAAAGAGTCCTGTATGACCAGGACCGTAAGAAAGACCCACATGTAATCGGGGAGGAAGGAAGGAAAAGCGATCAGGCAGGGATCCCTGGGAGGGCACTCTGGAAAAGGGGCGCTGCCCTGGGAAGTGATGAGAGCCAGACTGGGGCCCTGAGCCGTGGGGTCCTCCCCGGGAGAGATGAACCCCCTTGTTAGGTTGGTGGACCACCAGCTCTAAGAGGAGAGCTGTGGGAAGCTTAGACCCTGTTTGTGAGGAGCACGTGTGCCCGGGCTTGCCCATGAGGCAGGGCAGAGAGAATGAACAGAGGCTTCCTGCAGCTGCCTCGGTGTGTGCCAGCCCTAGCTGACTAAATGCTCCAGCCCCGCTTACCCCACATCACAGCTTGGCCCTGGATCCAGGGTGGCCACGATGAGAGAGGGAAAACAGTGGGACACAGAGGCGACCTGGTCCCAGGATGGAACCTGAGTGGGCGGCAGTGGCTATTGTTGAAGCTTACTCAAACAGTGCATTAGAAGCAGCCCAGATCTCTGACGGCAGCTCACCCTGAATACCTGGGCACACAGGCTCCAGCTGCCAGCGATGCCACAAATAGGCAGAGACAGAGGAGATTGGGGGCGTCGAAAGGCAGTCTGTGAGTGGCAGAAGGTACTTGGACCCAAGACTACATCTCAGTAGAGGAAGGGAAACGGTGGCTGGTGCCCACACAAAGAGCATGTCAGAGACAGCTCGGCTCTCTGTGGTTGGCTGACAAGCTGAGAGCCTGCACACTCTGCCCTTGCTTCAGCACTCTGCGCTCTGGGCTGAGGGTCTCAGTGCTGGGACAGGGGAAAGCACACACTTAACAGGAACAGATGAGACTTCCTGGTGGTCCAGTGGTAAAGAATCCATCTTGCGAGGCAAGGGACATGCATTCAATCCTTGATCAGGGAACTAAGATCCCATAGGCTGCAGAGTAACTAAGCCTGCACGCTACAACTGCTGAGCCCATGAGACACAACTAGAGAGTCCACGTACCACAACGGAAGATGTCGAATGATGCAGCGAAGATCCTGTGTGCTGCACCTACGTCCCCATGCAGCCAAATAGATAGGAACAGAGCCAGCTTGAGCCGAAATCTCAGGACTTCTGCTCCAGAACCTTAGGATCAGATCACCTCTCATAGGAAGGTGACGGCCGCCTAGCCCAGAGGAAGCCCCACCTCACCCCTAACTTCAGCTCTAGCCCCTCCATCTCCAGTCCCCCCCATAGCAAGGTGGTAGCTGCCAGCATTCCGGGAGGAAGGGCGACTTGAATCCACATCAAATCCAGCTGCCGTAAGGTGAATGCCACAATAAATTGAGTCCCACAGGTTTTTTTTTTTTTGGTGGGGGGGGGGGTTTCCTAGTGCATATAAAAGTTATATTTACCCTATACTCTAAGTGTGCAACAACATTATGTGTAAAAAAAATGTACATACTTAATTTTAAAAATACTTTCACAGTTATGAAATGCACAGTGTGAGAATATAGTCAGTAATAAGGTAACAGATGGTAATTAGACTTATCGTGGTGATCATTTTGTAACGTACAGAAATATGGAATCACTAAGTTGCGTGCCAGAAACTGGCATAGTGTTGTAGGTCAATTATACTTCAAGAACAAAGATGCAGGAAAACTCATGGAAAAAGAGGTCAGGTTTGTGGTTATAATAAGTGTGGAGTGGGGGAGGAGGAGTAGGGGGATAGTAGTCAAAAGGTATAAACTTGCAGTTGTGAGATAAGTAAGGGATGTAATATACAATGTGATAAATATTATTAACACTGCTGTGTTACTTACGAACGTGGTTAAGAGATCAAGCCCCAGGAGTTCTTATCACAAGGAAAAGAAATCTTATTTTGTATCTCTACAGTGATGGTTGTTTACTAAGCTTGTGGTATTCATTACACATTGTATATAAGTCAAATCATTATGCTATATACTTGAAACATTCTGTGCTGTGTGTCAATTATTTTTCAATAAAACTGGAAAGGGAAAGCAAACTCTTTTAAATAGGTTGTTGCTAAAAATTGTTAACCAACATCTGACAGTGCAAGGTCACCACAAACCTTTAATTTGTATTTAAAAATTGAAAAAAGAATGAGTATCTGCAAAATGCAAAAAGTGAAGCACCATAAAATGAGGTGTGCCTGTATTTCTTAAAAAAAAATATATATATATATATATATAAATCTGAGTTTGGTCCCGGATGGTAGTTTGTTGTTTTCTTTTCAAATCTTCATGAATCACAGACCATCATAAATGTTCTCTGTTATCTGGGAGTAGCCATCTTTATCCTTGGTTAATAGGCCTTATAAGTGAATAAAGTTTTTTTCTTTTTAGCAACAGCATTAAAAACAAGAAAGACAGAACTGTTTTTCTCTGGCTTTCGCGAGTGGCAGGCATCTGATGAACATGCCAAAGGAACTGGCCTTTTTGAGAGTCCCTGGACTCACATATTCTCATCATTAAGAAAGGCTGTCTGGATGGAAATATATTCTCGGTGGTAGCATTTAGGTCAATTAAAAAGGATGATTTATTATTAAAATGGTCACTGCTGATGGGTATTTGATTCTTGTTGGATGAAAAGGCACTATCTCAGAGGGGATTTTATGGGAGAGTGTAATGTTTATCCCTCCATTCTTTAATAAATCATCTGTGTCAGTGATATTAGCTGGCAGGAGGTCTGTTAGGACTTAGCGTTGGTGTCTTTGAGGTGTGATATATCTGAGATTCTCATCCAAAGGCCAACCAGGTTCTCTAGAAAGTTTCTTGCCTATTCCTTTTCCTTTTAAAGATTAGAGATTAGTGGTGCTCCCTGTATTCATCATGGGTAATGGAAGATGATAGGGAATTCTGTTAAATGTAAAGTTTATCATTTGATGTTCTGTTTAGACACAAAGTTATGAATCCTGTTGATCTTGAAAAAGTATAAATTCTGTCCAATTTATGTGGGAACCCAGGGTGTGCTGCAGTTCGTGGGGTCGCAAAGAGTTGGACACAACTGAGCGACTGAATTGAACTGAGGGCATTCAGTTAAACATGTATTGAATACCTACATGTGACTAGTGTCCTGCTAGGTACTGTGAAACTCATATCTGTTTTGCTTCATGTGAGGCCTTTGCTGGGCACTGAGGACACACAGGAAAGTGAGATGCAAATAGTCCAAGATACACTGTTTCATATCAAACTCCAAATTAGAAAGTAGGTCCTGGCGAGGAGGTTGTGAGTATCCAAACTTGTAATAGTGGGGCTTAGCACAGAGAGAATGTTCCAGGAATCATTTGGCATTGCTGCAGCCATCCCTGTTAGGAAGCCAGCTGCCTCGGGCAGTGAGGCAAATATCTTTTAAAGTCATCAGTCTGTTCCTGACACTCCAGACACACAAAAGGCATTAGAGGAAGAGCATAAATATTAACAACACAAACCCAATTCCAAAACACACAGATATAGAAAGTGATTGAAGAAGGAAAACTATAATGTTCAGCCTCCCCTGTCATAGACAGTGATCAGTCTCTTGCCACTGGTTTGTAAAACAAACCAAGATCAGCTCAAAAAGAAAAGAAAAAGGACAATTCCCAGATCAAAGCTTTGAGTCTGTAGAGCTACAAGTTTAGAGACAACTGTAGAGACATCCCATCATCATTCATTCTGTAGTCTTCCACCGAGTAGAAGCCAGCATCGCGTAGCATACATTTAGACCAGGATTTCAAGTGGGAGGCTCCTTCCAGGCGTCTTTACTCATCAGGGTTTGTTTTAATTATCCAAATATAAAATAACTCCAGCAAAACTCTAAGTTAAAAATAGAATCACAAGCTAGAGAGTGTTAGAGTCCATTACAAACAAGTGTAGGCAGCCAAAGCCTTCAAGGCAAAGGTTCCTGTGAGGAGGGTGGCTGGTTTCTCCCTGCTGCGCCTGCTCAGAGCGCTGTCACCTTTGACCCCCAGCTCTGGTCATCTCACGGGAGCTGAACCTTCCCCAGTCCCACAAGTCAATGTGTGTCTTCTGCCTTCCTGTAGCGACCTTCTGCAGAGCTGCCATCATCCCAGCTCTTACCTTTTCTTTCTTTTTACTGGAGTATAGTTGATTTACAATGTGGTGTTCGTTTCAAGTGCACAGCAGAGTGATGCAGTTACACGTACATATAAATTCTACCATTAGCTTGATCCCTTGTTCCTTGAGAGCCTTATGGGGACGTGGAAGAAGGACACTGTTTCTGTGGTCAGCTTTTATTTTACTTTGTAGTCACGGCCCACCCGCCTTCCACCTTTCCTTCCCTCTTTCTTTTCTTCCTTCTCTAGACAGATAATGCTGATGTGAAAGTCATCACACTAAAATGACAACTTAATATTGCTCTTCCTGGAAAATTCAGTCTGGTGTTTTTGCATTCTTTTTTTCTGCATCATTGACATAAAACTGACTGAAAGATGGACTTCCTACTAGTGGGGGAGGGAAGAAAGAAACTGAATCAAATGCTTGAAAGTTATTGTCATCATCTGATTCTAAAATGTGGGCTCTGATCCCTCTTTACTGTTATGCTTATTGGTCCAGTAAGAGCCATTCAGAATTATTATTAATGCATAATAATAGTGCTGAAATAATAATAGGTACAGAAAATAGTGCTGTTTTCATTGGCGAGTCATGAGTTAAATTTACATCAGTGTCTTGAAAATCAGTGATGATATAAATGTAACCAAAATCAATAAATTCTGTTTTAGTATTGATTCCTTTCTTCTGATTGATCATTCTTTATGTACTCCAAAGCAATGATCAGAAGGCTTTATCTATAAAGAGCCAGGTAATAAATAATTCAGTCTTTGCTTGGCCATGTGGTCTCCATTTTAGCTACCAAACTTTACTGTTAACTCTAGGTGATCAACCGTAGACATACAGAAACAACTAGGCTTGGCTAGTTCAAATAAAACTTCATTTTTGAACACTGAGAGTTGAATTTCATGTAACTTTCACATCACAAAATATTCCCCCTTTTTAACCATTTAAAAATGTAAAGACCATTCTTAGCTGGAAGACCGCACAGAAACAGGCAGTAGACTGGGTTTGGTTGGTGCTGTTCTAAGGCTTTGGTGGAATAACCAAATGAAACATCTTCAGTTTCAATTCATTTTGAGCTCTGGGAGAAAACAAGAATGTCCTGTTACTATCAAATGCATGCAAATCACGACTGCCTAATGAGTGAGATTCTAAGCTTTACCAAAAATCTTGTACTCTAGTCAGTTGATGAAAATCTTGAATAATTGTTGAAGGAGAGCAAACTTTGTGCTCTGAGCAGAATAAGACCTCTGTCTCAGTGGTCCTGGGCTGCTGTACCAAATCCTGGGTGACTTATAAATAGTAGATATGCATTGCTCATGTACTGGGGAGACCGAAAGTCTGAGATCAGGATGCCAGCATGGTCAGGTGAGGTGGCAAACTTCATATTGTATCTTCATACTGTAGAAGGGGCTCTGGAGTTCTCTAGAGTCACTTATATAAGGGCACTAATCCTATTTATGAGGGCTCCACCCTCATGAACTTATCACTTCCCCAAAGCCCCACCTCCTAATACCATCTCCTTAGGATTTCAGTATATGAATTGCTAGGGTGGGGTGGGGGGGGTGGGGGGCTGTTGGTGGGAGATGGAGATAAGCATTCATATCATAGTAACCTGTAAAAATGTCAATTCTTTTTGTCTTCCACAGTTGTTCATTAATAGTCAACACTGTATGCTCTGCCCTGGCTAGGGGTGCAGCAGTGACCATGGCCTTCTACAGTTCTAGCTTTAGGGAACTTTTTATTTCACTGATATTTGAGCATCTTCTGTGATTAGTCAACTTGTCCAAAGCAGATTGTATGAGCTGTGCATTGGCTCTGGCTTGAAAGTCACACCTGGGGATGTTTACTAGCCAGGCTAGTGTAAGACCTCTCGATTCCCGCCCAGTGGCATTTCTTAAAGAACTTGTCCATCTTTGGTAGTTCCTGAGAGAGAGGGTAGAGCTTTTGGTCTTTTGACTTTGGGGTCACGGTTGTTATTTTACTCATAGCATCTTTTATCTTCCAGGTGCATGCTCCGAATCCTGGACTCATTTGGCACAGAGCCAGAGTTCAACCATGCCAACTATGCCCAGTTGAAAGGCCACAAGACACCCTGGGGCAAGTGGAATCTGAACCCACAGCAGTTTTACACCATGTTCCGTGAGTAGTCGTGTCTCAGCTCTGCTTTCCAGAATCCCGTCAGAGACAAAGGGGAGAAGAAATGAGGCCACTGGGTGTTCTCATTTGTGATTTCCGGGGTCTTTAGCTGTAGAAATGTGTGCTATGGAACCTTTTTCTTGAGAATAACTGGATTTTTTAAAACTAGAATTGCAAGGCTCTGTGAACATTTTGTGAAAAGCCTTGCAAATATTCTGGAGAAAAATGTTCAATATTAAAGTATCACTGGAAACCACTTGGGAAAGACTTTCGGTGATCTTTGATTGACAGACATTAAACATGCTTCCTGCCTCACAGACCCTGTTTAGGTACACTTGATGATTCAGAAGGAATGAGATCTTCCGTGTCTATACATTTTTCCAAATACTGTAATGGAACCTTCATTATTTTAGGCATCAAACTTTGTAAAGAGAAAGCCAGCCTTTTCAAGATGGAATGATTAAAAGATCTGTTTCATACCTTACTGACTTCTTAAACCCTGGGCTCAGGATGAAATCTTACCCTCTCTTGCCTATGTGGTGTCTTGTTGCCAACAGCAGTGATTCTTTTGCAAAGTCATGTAACACACAGACTAAAAGACGATGAACTCACTGGCCCCAGCTGTAGCCTCTCAGAGTTTTTTTATTTGTGTTTCTTTCCCACACTGACCATTTCTCGCTGCTGCCATCAGGTCTACCTGCCCACAGTTTGATTTCATTTACAATTAGTTGAGGGCTGTGAAGCCAAATGACAAGTCTGATAGTATTCATGCCAGAGATAAATCTATTGTTTAGACCTTGATAATTCCCCTTGATGAGGTGAATGCCTGTTCTGGAAATGACCATTCCCCCAAGGTAAACAGTTCATTTGTACAGTCAGAGTGCAGATTTCTGTTTTCCTAAATTCTTGGAGTAATTTTAATCCAGAGCTTTCCATCCTAGAATTACTATATGAAAGCTAATCTGTTTCCCCTGTTAAGACCCGCAATCCCCCTCCCCTTACCTTTTCCCCGTGTACTGACCACCCCCCCCCCCACAACAAACAGCCACCGAAAAATGACCTTTCGTTGGGTTCACTGGACTGCTCCTGGAGTGCTGTCATCCTGCTGTCGCAGTCTGTTCCTGGGGCAGAACTCAGGGCTCAAACTAATATAGGGGTGGTGGGTGACAGGTGGCTGGCATCATGGGGAGACACGGCTGTGCAGCTTTGAGGAGCCAGGATGGGGTGACTTGTGTGTTACTTCACATAAATACAGTGTTTAGCTGTGTTGTGCAAAATGGCCAGAACTGCTTAAATGACATGGTATATTTGTACCCTCCATGGGATGGTGTTTCCCTACATCTGGGGCATAAACATAGGAGGCTTTTCCGGAAAATAAGTTCTCATTTAGAATGCTGGGATTCAGAGTCCTGAAATACCTATTTTATTTTCTATGAATGGAGGATTTGAAAGTGTTGGTTGAATTGAAATCCATTCAGTGCTTAAAATATAACTGAAGATGGAAAAAATAGATTAGTTCTTGTTAACCTGGGAAGGAGATAGTTTTCTAAGTGACTCAGAATTCAGCAGGAATCAGGGGGCAAAGCCAATACATTTGTCTGCCTTAAAATAAAGACCTGTATGGCCAAAACAACAATACCAAAAAAGTAACACTATAGCATATTCTGTTACAGAGGGTTAATATCACTGATGTATAAAGCTACTAAGAATTGAGATGAAAATATTCCACAATCCAGTAGGCAAATGGTCAAAAGCAGTCCAAAAAAAGAAACGTGTTGCTCCAAATATATGAAACATGTTAAGCTCACTAATGATAAGAGAAGTGCATTTTAAAATTGCACCAAGATCCCATGTCCCACATATCAAATTGGCAAGAACCTGAAAGTTTGCTCACGCAGCTCTTCCTCAGGTGAGATTTCAGGAGAGCACTGGGAGTGCAGCCCGGCTGCCACTGCCCGTGCCAGGGGATCTGTCACCGTCTAGCACAGCTTCTAGGCATCTTTCCTTTGACTGGGCAGATCTTATCTAGGACTCCACCCCAAAGGCAAGTAAGCAAAGATCATACATGCCATGTGTACAAGGTCATGTATCAGGGCACTGTTTGTACTAAGGAATGACTGGAAATAACCCAGAGGTTCCTATTAGAGAACTGAGTGAGTCATATAGTCCATTGATAGAGTGAAATCATGTGTGACTGCGCAGAAGGACCGAGGGAAGGTTCCACTGTCTGAAGGGAGATGTCTAGTCTAGTCTGTATTAAGTGATAAAAACCAAAGTGCAGGGCAGTATGTGGAGTCCCTCCCTTCTATGCAAGAAGGGTATGCAGTGGGAGGAAAATGTGTGTATGCCGATGTATGTGAATGCGCTTGTGTTTTCAAAAGAAACACTGAAAGACTAAAAAAACAAGCTGATAAAAATGATTACCCCGGAGGAGGGTTTGGAGGGACAGGGATAGAATATAGATGTCTTTTTTTTTCTTTAAACTATAGTTGATTTGCAATGTTGTGTTAATTTCTACTGTACAGCAAAGTAATTCAGTAATACATATCTATATATTCTTTTTTATAGTGTTTCCTGTTATGATTTATCACAGGATATTGAATATAGTTCTCTATGCTAGATGTCTCTTAATGTACTCTATTTTGACTTTGGAACCATATAAATATTTTATTTAAAAAGAAATAAGGATTCACTAAAGATTGAAAAGAGGTTAAAAAATATGAAACACACCTAGTGATATGTCAGGTTGGTACTAATTTCTCACACAGATAAAATAATTATTTCAACTGACTTTAAAATACAATCTTTGGACCCTTCATTTGTAGTGGGGAATATTTATCATTATTTGAAACTAATACAGGTATACCATGGGAGCCAGAATTTGCAATGTATAGGAAGGGGAATGCTTAAAGAAGTTAAGACCATATAATATTCAGCTTGAATAGGAAATATCAATATGAACTTACATTTTCTCTTTGAAAAGGAAATCTTTCCTAACTCTGTACTTTGAAAAGGATCAAAAGTAAAGACAATCAGGTGGCAATGAGTATCCTTAACACTCAGTTTGGGGCAGCCCAAAGAATGCTCAAACTACCGCACAATTGCACTCATCTCACACGCTAGTAAAGTAATGCTCAAAATTCTCCAAGCCAGGCTTCAGCAATACGTGAACCGTGAACTTCCAGATGTTCAAGCTGGTTTTAGAAAAGGCAGAGGAACCAGAGATCAAATCGCCAATATCCGCTGGACCATTGAAAAAGCAAGAGAGTTCCAGAAAAACATCTATTTCTGCTTTATTGACTACGCCAAAGCCTTTGACTGTGTGGATCACAATAAACTGTGGAAAATTCTGAAAGAGATGGGAATACCAGACCACCTGACCTGCCTCTTGACAAACCTGTATGCAGGTCAGGAAGCAACAGTTAGAACTGGACATGGAACAACAGACTGGTTCCAAATAGGAAAAGGAGTACGTCAAGGCTGTATATTGTCACCCTGCTTATTTAACTTATATGCAGAGTACATCATGAGAAACGCTGGGCTGGAAGAAGCGCAAGCTGGAATCAAGATTGCCGGGAGAAATATCAATAACCTCAGATACGCAGATGACACCATCCTTATGGCAGAAAGTGAAGAGGAGCTAAAAAGCCTCTTGATGAAAGTGAAAGAGGAGAGTGAAAAAGTTGGCTTAAGGCTTAACATTCAGAAAACTAAGATCATGGCATATGGTTACATCACCTCATGGGAAATAGATGGGGAGACAGTAGAAACAGTGTCAGACTTTAATGTTTTTGGGCTCCAAAATCAGTGCAGATGATGACTGCAGCCATGAAATTAAAAGACGCTTACTCCTTGGAAGGAAAGTTATGACCAACAGATCGTATATTAAAAAGTAAAGACATTACTTTGCCAATCAAGGTCCATCTGGTCAAGGCTATGGTTTTTCCAGTGGTCATGTATGGATGTGAGAGTTGGACTGTGAAGAAAGCTGAGTGCCGAAAAATTGATACTTTTGAACTGTGGTGTTGGAGAAGACTCTTGAGAGTCCCTTGGACTGCAAGGAGATCCAACCAGTCCATCCTAAAGGAGATCAGACCTGGGTGTTCATTGGAAGGACTGATGCTGAAGCTGAAACTCCAGTACTTTGGCCACCTCATGCGAAGAGTTGACTCATTGGAAAAGACCCTGATGCTGGGAGGGTTTGGGGGCAGGAGGAGAAGGGGATGACAGAGGATGAGATGGCTGGATGGCATCACCGACTCGATGGGCATGAGTTTGAGTAAACTCCAGGAGTTGGTGACGGACAGGGAGGCCTGGCGTGCTGCGATTCATGGGGTCGCAAAGAGTTGGACATGACTGAGCAACTGAACTGAACTGAAGTACCTTTCCCACTGAAGAAACCCCTTTCTAAGATAAATAGGTGATTTTAGGTCTAAGGCAACAAACATTAAAAATGTGGCATCTTTAATCTGGAAGCAAGGAGGCTAAGAAAGACCCCTGGGGTGGACTCAGAAGGACACAGGAGCCAAATATGGGGTAGTTTGAGCATCAAAAATAATGAGGGACTTCCCTGTGATCCAGTAGCTAAGACTCCAAGCTCTCAGTGCAGGGGGCCTAGGTTCAATCCCTGGTCAGGGAATTAGATCCCATATGCTGCAACTAAAAACCCTGCATACTGCAGCTAAGACCTGGAACAGCCAAATAAATATTAAGAAAAAGAATAACAGCTGCAGTGGAGGGAATCATACAATGGAAAATAATCCATGAGTCCAGAATGATAGTCCAAGCAAGAAAAACCCATAAAATCAATTGATCACCTTTAGAAGTTGCTAGGACACCAACTTCATTACTCTGAAAAATAAAGGGAAAGAATCCAGTTTTGATCCTGCCTTTCTAGGACAAATTGTATTTGAAGATAATCAGATAGTTGATGAGAGAACGTTGTTAATTATGGAGAAATCACAGCTAATAAATGCAAAAGGAATAAAAAATTAGAAAATCAG